AGATTATATCTTATAATAACTTTTTAAAATTTCAAATAAAATTGATTGTCATTCTAATTTAATTTTTAATCATGCTAATTTTTGTCAATGTGAAAGATTAGTTAACAATTTGATAAAAAATGATGTTAGTATATATTTTTTTCAATGGTAGCTTGGGGTCCATTGACAAATAAATGTGCTTACCACCAATGTTTTTTCTTTATTTTATAGAGATATATCTTATAAACTAACTTAATTATTTAGGAAATATTTATATACCATCAATAAAAATTATGGTAATGAAAGTGAAACGTAAATACATGTTAATGATCAAACATTTATAATTTTTTATTTCTAATCCTCTCTCTGAGTACCACCTGTATATTTTTAAAGGATTCAAAGAACTTTTTATTGTAAAATCTGAGTACGATTTTTCACTATTCAAGGGATATTTTAAACAATTTATATAAAATGTAAAATAACTCATACAAAATAACCTAAACTACCAAATGTATTCAGTTTGTTCTTAATATTTTAAACAAAAACCATTTATTCTTTAGAATATTTTAATATACACACATTATTTTGTTGAGCCATTATGGATTCTGATTCCAAACACTTTTTAATGATTCTTATCAACTCTTTTGGATTTTGAGAATACTTCTCCTAAAAAAATATAGTTTAAAAATCAATTATTATAAAATTTAATTTTGTATAATTTTAAATAATTTTTAGTTTTATTTATTGAATACTTTACTACAATCCATGTTATTATTTAAATACTCACTTTATATAATTTTGCAGTATCAATTAATTTCAATTTGCTGACAAATTGTTCATTAGTTACCATAGAATTAGCTTTAGACACTATTTCATCCACAAAAGACACAAATAAACCTTTAATATAACCTTCATGCTCTAAATTATCTGGATCGATTTCAGTCCTAATAAAAAAATTATCAAATAATCAAATTAATTTTATACATATATTTTAATATTTGAAGAAAAAAAACTTTACCTAGTTAAATTGTTAATATTTTTTTAGGAAAAATATTTCACATAATTTGTTTAGCATTTATGTTATAAAATAAGAATGACAATATCAAAAGGACAGATTCTATACAATAATATTATTTAGCTAGTAACTAGTATACTATACATTAAAAAACACAATTTAAATAGATTAGTATAAGTATATTAAATATTATCTGATTGATTTATCATACCATAATTTGATGGTTCCAGGAAATAGTAATTTTATACAAGCATTATGGATAATTGATGCGAGTCACACACATGCAGAAGTAAAAAAAATAAATATACTAAATATTTGTGTCATACTCGTAATTATAGTCAAATCCCAATCATGAGCTTAATTGTTAACACTAACTTGATATAAATTTAAAAGCATTTTGGAATGAGTTTTGAATTCAAAGACTAAAGTGAACTTAATTATATGCTGTTTAGAATTTTTCTGTTGAATTCAATTAACACATTAACAATCTTAGCTGGATAGTAATTGTTTATAATGGAACAGTGCTAAAATATAATTTCAAATGCCTTTTGTAATTAATAAAATATTAATTTCAGAAATCTAATAATTGCCATTAATATTGTTATTGGTATCTTAACTTGAACATCTAGAAATACATACATGAAAATTTAATTTACTGGTATATAAACAAAACCAACTATCAATTGCAATGTACTTTTTAGTAGTTTGTAAAACTTCACAATATTTTAGATTTCTATATTTTCAAATTAGGCAGATAATTACAAGTTTAAAGAGTTGATTGTGTAATAAAAATTTAAGCCGTATATTGTATAGATTCACAGAAATCATCTGGTATCTTTTTAATTATTTGTGATAAAAATGTAACATGATACATATTAATATACTTCAAGCACTAATATATTTTATGGTCAATTAATAGTTCTGTTTCATTAAAAATGTTATTAATTCTAGATTGAAACAAATACAGTGCTAGAATTTTTTTCTTACTAATAATATGTTTTATATAATTTTAAAAACATAAATCCTTCCAATTAAAATTTTTTTAGAATATAAAAATATATTTAAAAAAATATTAAAAATGTAATAATAAAATACATTTTTTTAAATTTCCAGAAGCATATATTGTATTTTAAGAATAATAAAATAATTAAAATAAAACTACAGCATAGATAAGTATCTGTTTATTATAAATATTATAATTGTTCAATCAATAATAATATAAATAAGGTTTCACTGGTTTATATTTAAATATTATATTATTATTTGTACATATATAATTTAATAAATTAAAAGTATTGGAGACATTATCTTAATTAATTTACTTATAATAATTAATTATAACTACTTAAAACATATATAAGTACTAAATCAAAGTCATTATGTTTTTTGACTAAATATATATATAATATTATAAAGTTATTTTGTTTCTTCTGTATTTATAATTAAGATTATTTTTATTTTAGACAAAGAAAGTTTATTATTTATAGTTATTTAACTTGTCTAATTTATGTTTGTCATACTTATAAATTACAAAAAATAAAAACTTTGTTCACCTAAATAATAGTTTCAACAAATAATCAATTTAGAACTAGTCTACAATAAATTATTAAATATTTTAAAAATTCTGTTATTTAATGAGTTTAAGATACTAAATTGCTTAATCAAAGTGATAATCAGTCTTAGTACAAAAGTAATATATATTATATGCTAAAGAGACATTTACTACAAAGTTCATATAGATTTTAAGCAGAATAAAATCTCAATCATTATAATTAAGGTAAAGAAATTTGGTTACTAAAGTGATGTAGTATGCAAATATAAATTTTAAATGATAAGGTATATGATTCAGGTTCAAAGATAAACTTAAATCTATATAAAAAAGATTGTGACCTAAAACAATTTAAATTATTACTTAGGTAATTGATATTTTAAAGACAAAAATTTAAAAAGGAAATTAGAACTTTAACTTTAAAATGTGTAATAAATAATTTAAAATTAAACATTTGTTAACAAACTTTAAATTAAAAGTTATTGATTAAACCATCTTTAGTACATTTAAAAATGTCAATGAATACTGTATAATAATATTAAATAAGATACCTAATTATTGTAATTCCTATTATAATTTAATTAATATATTGTATGTAAAATTTTAAGTCTTAAAAAATTATGCTTAAAGGTTAAATAGTTATTATATTTACACAATTTGCTTAAAAATAATTTACTTGTTATTTTATAGAAAATCCAACAAAAAAAATATAAGGTATAATAAAAGAAATATAATGTTTATTTAAACCCAAAGATTAAAATGTAAAAATAATGAATATATCATGTTTAATATTAATATTGTAAAATTCTATACTTCTTATTAAACTACGCTGATAAATGATTTTGATATAATTCGTAAAATAAATTTCTTACTTATTATAATAATATAAGAATAGAAATAAAATAATTTCATACCAAGCTTTAGTTTCAAACCATGGAGATAACAACTGCCGCACTTCAATAGGAAAATGATCGTTATATATCTGATGAAAGTCGTCACCATGTAAATTTTGTTGAAGTTTTTCCCAAGCCGTAATTGGAGACACTAAAATTAAATGTCAAATTCACATCACAAAACTCAATGAAAAAAATTTTTGGTAAAAAATGGATGATAAACATTTATACCTACTTTCTTATACTTGTGTAGGGCTTTAAGTGCGCACTTGTTTTTTGCAACTCAAAAGCCTTTTAGAAAAGTACACATAGTTCGAAAAATAAGCACTACAATAACAAACAAAATTATCCGAAACGTGCAAACAAAATTGAGATGTCAATGTTTTTGATCGTATTGTTAGAAGTAATATCTGATGGTTGGTACAGCTAGTTGTCAATAATTAATTTACTAAAATTACTAAAGCAAAATTAAATTGCTTACTGCTGCTTCCAGAAATGCAGAATCAATCAATTTCAGTATTACCAATTTAAGTTCTTAATGATTTTTTGTTTAATATTTCAATTTTTTGTTAAAAATATTCCTGCGCAACAGTTGTCAAAATTTTGTTGTTACTAACATCATACCAAATTGATATATTATTTTTTGTTAACAACATCAACATTTCGTTTCATAATATGATGAAAACATTTATAATAGTATACCTATAACCAAAATATAACCATAGGAAGAGTATGTGATAACCTTTTTTAATTTGGATTAACGTTAAACTTGATATAAAAGTATGTCTTATCTTTTATACCATTTTTTTTTAAATACTAAATAGTATGCAATATACATGACTGACCACTCCATATCTATCTTTTCTCCACCTTCCACTCAGTAGTCAGTTCATTCTCATGTGCTTATTGTTTAATAATAATTTAAATTTTATCGATTGTCTTGAAGTGTTAGTACTAAATTACTCACTAGAAATCAAAACTATAATTTTTTTATTTACTTAATAAATATTATCAGTTAACGCTAATTTTATTTTTAATTAATAGTATGTCAAGATTTTTGAATGGAATATTAAACAAAGTGCATAAAAGTGTTGTAAGTATTGCCCTTGGATTAACGGTGATATCCACCGGAGTATTTATGGTAAGATCTTACGAAATTCTATTCGTACCAGTTGATCAAAGAGTCAAAGCTAGACAAGAAGTCAGTGAATTGTTAAACAACGAGGAACTACTACAAAACGAAGAATAGGTAGGTATTTACTATTAAAATCACATTATTAAATAATTTTATAATTCAAGTAAAGGTCAAGTATAAATTATGAACAGATAATATTAATTTCTTATAATTAATATTAAATCATTACTCTTATTCCTTATTATAAATTTTTTATATGTTATATGAAAATATTATAATTTCTTTGACATTCAAAATTATTTAATACATCAATTAACAAATAATCATTTTTTATAGTTTTTATAAACTGTTCTTAAAATTATTTCATCAGACTTTTCAAGTAGTATTAAGTCTTAATTACAAAAATTGGTAATATTTTACAATTTTAATTTTATCTGGTAAAAAAAAAATATAATTAAAAAGTAAAAAAATATAAAGTACCAATATATCTAAGAATTATAGATAAACAATGCAAAACCTTAATTTATTTTTACAATTTAAAACATATGTACACTTAAAAATAAATTTTCAGATTTTATCTCGTATCTACATTTAATAGTTATAAAACTATTAAACTTATAACTATTCATCTTGGGATTTGTCTGATGCATTATCTTCATCTTGATAACTTTTTTCATCACTAGATTCTTGAACAAGTCTTATACGTTTGAATGGAGGTTGACAAGTTTGCATATCATTATTATTCTCTAAATGCATTCTATAACAAATATATTTTTGTAAATAAATTAAAATTTCAATTTTATCAATTATGATTACCCATGTTCTTTTGTCTACTTACATTACTGATATTGATGGTTGTGGTGGTGGTGGGGGGGACCAGACACTTGGCATTGTTTCCTCATCATGTAATTCTGGACCTTCTATTTCTAAAGATTAATTATTAATATAGATACCAATATTATTAAAGTTAACTTATGTTTTTTTTTAATTACCCCTTGTAACAGAAGCTCCATCTACTTCTTCAAGAGTTTCTGTTTCATCCATACAATTTATATTCCTAATAATAATTTTATTAATAATAATTAAATAGCACCTAAAATAAAAATATATAGTTTAATGTTAGGGTGTTACACTTACTCTAGTGAATCATCAGGTATACGAAATGGTACTGCATTTTGATGTCTCCATTCATTTCTTGGTGGCTGTTCACCAGTAAACAAATGAAATTCTTGAACGTCATCTATAGCATATAATATTTGTATTACTAAATTTAATTTAAAAGGATGCCCACATGTTTTACTTTAATTTTACTAACATACAAAAAACTAAATTTAATTTTCACAATAATCCTTCTCTTGTTGTTTTTAAATTAACAATTAAATTAAAGGTTTTCAAAAGATAAGATAAACACTTAAGGTCCCGTGTAGGCTTTTTTTGATATTTAAATTATTATAGTATGTTTTAAAATGTATAAAAAGTTAAAATACTTATAAATGGCTTTATAATTTAGTTATCAATAAGTCTCCAAGATACACTAGATAATCTTACCTTCACATTTTATTATAGGTCAATTTATTATTTTTATAAATAAAAAATAAAATAAATGTCAATCATAAAATACTCTGTTGTAATATCCTATTGATTATAAATACCTGTAACATAGTTATTCAATTTCATGCAACTCTCGTAAGGTGGTGGTAGATTCTCAACGTTATCTTGTATAGAATTAGACATGTCATTTGAATTGATATTCCTAACTCCTGCATAATAAATAATAATTAACTTTATTTTATAATTATTATGTTTTTATAAATATAAAAATAATTATGCTTACTTTTATAAAAATAGGTCCATATTAGGAAAATTAAAAATATATTTATTATTAAAAAAAATATTCCAATATCTTGCCAATATGAATTGGAACTAATTTTTTCTGAAAATAAAATGAATATTTTAACATTGTAACTACTATATTTAATAATTATTTAAAAACAAAAATACCTGGTGTTGGTAATAAAATATTAGAATTTATTGGAACACATAAATCATGAATTTCTCCTCCAAAAAATATTTCTTCAAAATAGCTGTAAAAAATTTGAAAAAATAATTAGTTTGTAACAAAAATTTTATTTTATTGGCTAAAAAATAAATATTTGAATATGCTATTTGCCCATTTAGTATTTACCCATCAAAACATGAACCACAATCCGATATATCTTTTGGACACTTAATATTTTTTTTAGTTGTTCTAAAATATATGCTACAATTCATGCACTGTGAGCATAAATTTAAACTAATATCACAATAATTATTTTTTTCACTACAGTCATTGTCTGTACGGCATTCAAAGTCAATATTTGTATTAAAGGCATCCTCTGGTATTGTTCGAGAGTCATTTTCTTGCATTATCTACAAACATAATTAATAAACACATTGATTTTTTTAACAGTTAATACATTATTATTCAAAAATACCTAATCTTACAAATTTAATAATACTTAAAATATTAATTTATCATGTTTAGAATTAGTTTTATTTGCTAAACAAACAATATTATTTTGGAATATTCTTCAAATCTGGTTAGTGGTTACTATAAATAAGTTTAATATAAGTTTTATTATTATAAATGGACAATAATGTAATCACTACTAATTATTCAAAAACAGTATTAAAAAGAATTATTTCTGATAGATGTATTCATATTATTAATAAATTTACTAATTGTTAAGTATTTTAAGTATAATATAATTACTGTCAAAAAATTTGAAATCTTTGTCCTTCAGAATTAAAATAATAAATTTAAGAATAATGCTTAATAATTGAGTTCTTAAATAGTTAAGTATTGGTTGAAAAATTGTTTCAATACTTAATTCCATTATTTTTCTTAGGTAATAACTAATAAGTGTAATTATTATATGCTTATGTATCAATTTCAAATTTTATCAAAGTATTACTATAATTAAATACGTTTCTGAATATTTCTGTTTCTCTGATATTATACAATTACTAAAAAATTGTTAAAATGTAAAAAAAAAAAAAGGCTTAAAAATTAAATTAAATTTTATTATTTTATTATAACTCAATAATTGATTTTAAAATAAGATAACTTATTATCAAAACATATTGATCTATTGAGATATTATTGGGGTGGAAATTACATACACTTGAAACGTGCATTATGCGTTTATGCGCTTATTATTTTAATACTACATGCTAAAACTAAATATAAATAAAAAAAATAAATAAATATTTAATTACGATTAAGGGTTAATGTCCTTTGGCGGTACTGTATTAAATTCACTTAATTAGAAATATGACAGTTACTTATTTTAATCGGAGATTTCCATTCTATATAATATGTTATTATTTGATAAAAACATACAAACATTTGCAAGCGTATTCAATTCCGGGTAATAGAGATAAATATAGAAACGCAATTAAGGTTCATAGAAAATTTTCAATGAGCTTAATTTAATAATTTTGTGTTTCCTTTATTCTTGTCTTGCTTTTTAATATTTTCAAAAATATACCTATCAATGTATAAGCGCAATAATAACTTTCTTATTACACTTGGTTCATGAAATTATTCATAATATGTAAAATTAATAAATTGATTGTTAAATAAAATGTTATCATATTCACATAACACTTCATAATAAATTAATAAAGTAGGAAATTTATATAAATTATGTAAATATATAATATTAATAACTAATATAACTTATACAGGCTAAAATATGTACCTTATTTCTAGTTTCTACCCTGTACCATATTCTCTTCTACACTCCATTTATGATTTACCTAACACACGCACACGACTATTCAATAGGATATAAATATATAACTAAAACAGACTTTAATAGTGTTATCAGAAATATGATTAAATAAACATTTTAATATATTAAAACGATAAAATATTTATGTTGCTACTTTAGTAAATAGTAAACAATATATATCTGTAAAAAATAAACACTTACCAGTATGAAAACTATTAATGAACTTATCAATCCAGTTGAAATGTGTGCCATGTTTAAATTGAATTCTATTAATATCCGTATGATCTTTAAAGCAAACAAACACGATAGGTTATTAAATTATAACTTCGATCGCTTTTAATTGTATTGTCATAAATAATAAATTGACATACAAAGAAATGTTTACGTTTTTTATTATGAAATTATTATTTACACTTAATTAGTCTATGCAATATTTTTCTAATTAAATGTGTTCTCAACGATGTAATTTAAATCGAATTTCCAATCCAATCTAATGTTATATTTTCTCGTGTTTAGAAATTAATTTTCCTTACCATATAGGTGCAGTATCTAGTTGACGAATGAATGTAAATTGGTATGTTCCAACCGTGTTGAATGTAATGTATAGATTACAGACACTTAGTGTCCAAATTTTAAATTTAAGACTTCGGGTAGTTTTTAAGAGCAGTGCCTACGTTTTATAACGTTACTCAGCCGCGGCTCAATAATGAATGTCGTGGTGTTGCCGGGTTACTTTGGATCACTGGACCAAGTTAAAAGAGGATGAGTCATGGGACCAAGGTCTTGTCGTGAACCTGTCGTTACATGTCTTGTATTGTAAACACACACACATGCACTGGGTAGACCTGAAACAAGAATAATGTTGCGCGTGCCTGTGTGTGTACGTATGATGTAATTTGCAAGTGACTAAGGTGAACGAACGTTCCTCGATCCACTGCGACTATTCCTGTGATTTGTTATACAATATTATTATTTTTTTTCGTGGGAAATAGACTAATATTGTATAATAATATATATAACTATTAAAATATTATAATAATTAATAATAGGTACATTTATATTTCCACTTGATAGTTTATTTACATTATCGTATTATTCTATTTCGAATGAACGTTTCACGTGTGCCCCGTGTACCAATTAAATGTGACAAAAAAATTATACATATTCCTAAGTTTACTTTATAATAACATGCATTTAATTGTTATATTTTTATGTTTTAAAATAATTAACAAACTTGTTAATGACTAAAAATACATTGAATTTCTAGATACATTTAAAAATAGAGAATGTAGGTATTGAAAAGATTTAATAGTTCCTAAATCTAGGATATATGGTTTTGAAAGTGTTGATTTTTGTCTACATCTATCAAACACGCATTGAAGATGGAAATATTTATAACAAATCAATTAATTTATACATTTTTGTTATGACAGAAAATTAGTCGTAAAAAATATTAATTATTAACGATGGGGTACGGACTAAGATATTATCAATTACATTATTCCATAAAATTTATAACATAAAAATATAATATTTATTATAAATTATAAGTTATAATACAACAATAATTATACCTACCCCAATCATAGATTAAATATTAAATATATTTAATTGCCCTTATACACTATACTTTATATTATTCTCTGCCGCTCTTACGCATAAACGGAATACGATAGTATAAGTACTATAAGTTACATCTATTTGCATAATATATTTCTCATTGTATTTATAGTTATGTAGTTCATATAATATTTAAAATTTATCAATCTATTATATTTTATTGCTTAGTTACAGGGTTTAAAAATTTGAAATTTATTGCTGCTAGTGCTAGGAAACTAAAAATCTAGTAGGGTTATAATTTTTAGCGCTTTTATAATGATACGTTTTGAAATTAGTTTGACTGAATAAATGCATTAAGAGGTATTTAAGCAAGGACAGTGTGTCGACCTCTAAGTTTATTTTATAATTTATTCATATTATAATTAATGATTTTAAATTTTCAAAATATTTAGACTAGGTAGCTATTTATACCATAATTCTATATTCCTATTCAGATTTTTGAAAGATACATTCGTTATTGACTTATAACTAGAAATCGGATTTCTATTTTCTTAAAATCCTTAAAATATAATATTTTTATGTCGTTTAAAATAGGCAATAATATTCTTTCCATGTTAAAAAATTTTTTTTGACATATTTGTATGTAATAGTTCAGCGAATGAAAAAACAATAATATGTAAACAATAATAATTTATCACCCTCAAATATCAACACATACAGCGACGGACGATTGAAATGATTGAATAGTCGTAACTCGTAATAGCTCATGAAATAATCCCCATCGATAAGGAATATCTGGTGATTAATTTTTATTAGAACCCTAAAAAATATCAAAATAACTCATACAGTTAATATTTTATAATATATTGATCTATATTATCAAAATGCTGATATACATGAAATATGTTCATTAAGTCGTTATTACAAAAATAAAAATGTTCTCAAATATTCTCTAATGTGTTGAATATCCTTCAACCTCTAAATTGTTTTCATATGAATTTTATGTTTCATGAGTCGTAATGATATCTTACCTGTGATTTATTCTGTGATCTTACTCCTATTTAACTGTATTCACTATATAGAAATAAATATGTAAAATCATAAAAATCCGATCTCTACTCATAATTTAAAAGTTAATAAAATAAATACATGATATATAAAATTGCAATGTTTATAGTATTCGTTGGAGACGTTGGAGTACAATAATGGAAAAGTACCAATTACAGTTTTTAAAGAGTTCAGACTCCGGAGTCACTATTGTACATATTTTGTACCTGCTGTTGTAGATGTCTTATACACGTATAAAATTGCATATTGATTTCTTACTAGTTTATTTATCAATAGCTTTTAATAAAAGTTAATTTCTCATATTCTTTTTTTTAAATTAGTTTGATTAATTTAAAAAATGAATGATTGAAGTACTTCTAAGTTATAACTCTTTTTAAAATTTAAATTTAAAAAATACATTGTGTTTGATCTTCATATTAATTTATAATGCCAGGTAGTTTCTATTTTTTTTTTTTTTTTTTTCATGGAGGATCAGGATGATTTAAAAAAAAATTTTTAAGTTAGCGAGTTTATTCTCAATTTAAACGGATAAATGATAAAAAAAAAAAAAAAAAAAATTGGCATTAAAGTAAAATATTTTTAGCTATCTATTTTTTATTTCCGCTTTCCTGATTTTAATTTCTATTATAAGTAAATTTGCTCCAACATAAATTATATATAAACTGTAGTATAGTTCTGGTATGTAGATTTGATGTTTTGCTTCATATATGATAAACAAAAATACATATGTAGGTATGTCCTCTTAACATATTATAGTAATATTGTATAATGACGCTTACACTTGATTACTCAAAACCTTTAGCATTTACAGCAGAACAAAATTCTGGTTAATATGTTTTTACACTTTTAAATTAGCCTGTTAAAGATAATTTTAACATGATTAATATTGATTTCTAAAATAAGGAAAGAAAATACCAAAATACTTAATACTCTAGTAAAATTATATTTAAAACTTCATTTGAATTTCTGGTCTCCTTAAAAAATTAATCAAAGATTAATATAAAATATTATTTATTAATAATTAAATAAATATACTTTTACCTCCTTTCAACATAAAAATATAACATAGAAACTTTTTGCTCAGTTTTAACATTAATTTATTATCAAATCTAAAAGTAATTAAATTGTGTTTTTTCAATGTTCAAATTGTATAGCCAATCATAAGAATTCCTAAATTGAAATATTTTTCGCTTTTAATTTTCTTTAAAATTTAACTTACAAATAAAAGCCTTCAACATTACATAAAAATGGTTGTTATCTTTAAATTAGAGAATTGGTCAGTTTGCTTTATTATTAAAATTAATAAAGCTGAAAATAGACTTCTAAAGTTAAATTTTCCATATTAAGCATTTGAAAGAAAACTTGAAAGTATAGATATAATGTCTAAGAATTCTCTAACAACTTCATTACAACAATCAACTTTAGGCCACACTAACAGTATTTTATTATTATAATTTTTCAATTGAAAATATTAATACAACAATTTTTTTTAACTTATGACTGTTAATGCTGTTTTCTATTGAAACATTTGTACTTTGTACACTTCAGTCTAATCATTAGTAACAATAAAAAGGAATATAATAAGTCTCAAGAAATATTTCTCAAAAATAAACTACTGGTGGAATAAAATCCATATATAAAATTTAAATTTAAAAAATATTGACTTAAATACATAAATATAAATGATCACATTATATAACATGTAAAGTTAGAAATTAATTATTATAATTATGTATCAAATAGCAGTGACATACAAAATTAACTTTGAACACTCTGAATGTGTCAACAAAATAAAGGAAAAACAATGAAAATTCAAACAAGATAAAATGCTTTATGGTACATATTTTACAAGAAATAAAATAAAATTTGAGTATTTTTTAAAGCTATGATATAAAGTTTAATTAATTTTTTCTCTTAATGGTTAAAACTTTATTTCTATGCCTTTTTTCTATTGACTTATTTTCTACCCATGATTTACAATAACCATAGTATCAAAGATCAACATAAATTTTCATAATTTATACTATCGAAAAAACAAAACAAACGTGTATCTTAAAATTATTATACACTACTAGCAAACAATGAAGAATACTATGATGATGTAGCATGTAAAATATAAATTATCAATAAAATTAAAAAATTTAAAAAAATATTAAACTAATAATTAAAATAATTAGAACAAAGTATAAAGTAAAAATTAGGGTTTAAAGATCTATTATATCGCATTATAATCTTAGATTTTTTTTATTTTCATCAAGCCAAGTTTGAATGATGGTACTTCACAAATAGTACAGCTACCAATTCTTTACACAATTCTTCTAAAATTACCGCATTGTTAAAAATTATTGCTTCAAAATTTCTGTAAAATTAAAAAGATAAATATTATAAATTCCTATTTAACTATACTTAACAATTTTACTTTTCTTTTAATAGTTTGATTGAAGAACTATTTAAAACACGTTTTCTTGCTTGAATCAGTTCTTCATTATAATTTGGGAGTGTTAATATCTTTTTATGCAGTTCTTTAAGTACATGGCACAATATTATGTATAATGATGGTACATTACGTTTTAATGGTAATGTTGAATTTAACAAGTATTCATGTAGATATGGGTGAGGTAAAGAACTTAAAAATGTTAAAATCACTTTTAATTGCATAGTGGTTGAAGAGTTCTAAAAAATATTTAAAAAAAAATACATAATTACTTTATTAAAAAAAAATAACAAATAATTGTTATGTATTATTAACAACCTGATTAGGAATGTTGCTGATTTTTTTAAAAATCATTCTTAAAAATGGCCCTTCATCGAAATCATTTAATTCAACTGAATTTAATGCTTCAGTAGGCCAATCAAATTTTATACATTTATTAAATAAATCTTCATACATATTCTTTACGTCTGGTATGTGATCTTTAAACGTATGTGATTGGTCTGATTGTAGGTTTTGAGGAACCAATGCTAGAAATCTAAACATAGTTAAAAAAAAAAAACAAATTTATAATTATTTGAATAATTTTAACATTAAATTATAAGCTTACCGGTTAATTATTCTATCAATACTTGAAGGTGCAAGAGTTCGACTAGTGTTAATATTATTTTCATTTGACAGTATTTTTTTTTCTCTTTCATCTTCTTCATCACTCCATGTTCCTGATGTACATCTTTCATAATAGTTTCTATTGTTGATAAATTGTAAAATTATAAAATCCAAAACTTTTTTGTCTGAATTGAGTAATATATCCTTTAATAATATGTAAAATAATAATAATTACAATAATGATAAATTTTATATTAATAATTAATATAGATAAAAGTTACTATAAAAAGATTGAGAATGTTAAAAACAAAAATATCATCTGTAGCGGAAGACAATTTTATTAAAATGTCTATTGGTGTTTGTTTATTGCAATAAGGGCTATCAAGTTCTGACCGTAACCAATAATTTATTGCTGCAAACAAAATATATTCTTAAGTTCGTAATTTATTATGAGTACTAAACTATCAATGAATTTTATTAACCATTAATTAAATGTCAACAAAATTAAACTAACAATACCTACTATAATTTAAAGGTGTATAATCTGCTTCTTTGTAGATTTTTTTTAACAAAAAAACATAAGAAGATGATATTTGCTCTGAATTTTCAAATAATTTATTAAAAAATAATAATCTTAATGATTCACACAATGAATAAGATATTTTCAATTGACTATCTCTTATAACCTAAAAATGAAGTAATACTTAATATCTTTAACAATATTTCCACGAATAAGAAACATACCTCAACAATAAAATTTAACCAACAAAAAAATTTAGTGACATCATTTGAATAAGTGGCATTGTAATCATCCCTATAAAAAATATCGTAATTATTGAATATTTAAAATTCAAGTGGGTTGAATTTGTTTGACTATACACGTAAAGTATACAAGTATACTCATTTTAATAGATATTATTTAAAAATTTAAGATAAATATATATTTCCACTTACCTCCAATTTAATTCAATTGTTTCTAGTCCATTATAATCCAATGTAGTTGGTAATGCACAAAGCAAATTTCTAAGATGTTCACTTAATGTTGAACATAGTTTAGTTTTATTGATTATGAAGTCTATCACATTTTCATCATTTAATTTAGTAAGCAACAATATACAATTACAACATTTGTAAAATACATCTGTATTCTAAGAAAAATTATCTATATTAATAATAATCAACATTATTTAAACTACAAACAGTCTTTAAATTATACAAACCTTGGTATTGATATAGGTCAATACACAATCTAATACATTTAATCTGTTAAATGTACTTGATTCCGTTGATGTTTTTGCTTCTTCTAAATGATACATATTGGATTCCTAACAAATAGTATTTTTAAATTTATTTCAAATAGAAAATATTTTTATGTAAATTATATATTACATATGAAAAAAACATAATTGAAACATTTTGTTGTTTGTTTAACAGTGTACACAGCATGTATAAAAAGTGAATCTGATCTTGTTGCTGTTTATTATACAGAGCACTGTCACATAAATTAATTAGTCTCTAAAATTAAAAATTAAAAGATAATTAGTAGATTAATAATATTTTATTAATTTATAAAACCTTGTAGAATACATTACTTGAATACTGACAAAAAAAGATGGATGTGCTAATACTGGATTTTTTAATTGACTAATGAGATTTGTCATGTATTTTAATACTAATATCCTAATACCAATTAATTTTTCTTTTTCTGCCATAACTGTTAGTATATTAAATAGGTTGTTTTTCAACACATATTCCATGCACAAGTTGGTAGCAGTTTTTTCATTCTTGTCTTCACATAATAATATCTGAAATAATATAATAGATATTTGTAAATTATTTTGGCGTTTTTAGAACTTTTAATTTTCTCTAACTGACTACCTATACAACATAGATGACCAATTTGTGTTTTGCGTCTTAGTTACAAAATCAAAATTTACTTAATATTATTATGAATTTTAATTTTTTTAGGTATTAGCTTATAAAAAATTGTCAAATTATATAAAATTTGTCTATAAACATTTTGGCTCTTAGTATCATTGTATTTATTTATGTAGCCAGCAAACCTATTCATGTTGGCCACCCCTGCTATATAGGCTATATATTAGTTTAATTACATTTATAGATTCAAATGTACTACTTTTCTCTTAATGTATTCTTTATTTCATTTAAATTATATCAATCTTTATAATAATATATTAATTATTTTAACTGTATTCTTAGATAATAATACCTATAATCAGTTAAAAACATTTTATAGTTTTCACAAAAAATACCTGTTGTACAATTTCAAGATGGCCGGGTACATTGGTTTCTTCTATCCGAGTTTGAGAAAATTGTCCATCTGTAGTCCACTCTAAGTAATTAACCATAAATTTTTCCCAATGATAAATGAAATTTTCAAATGCTGGAGTGGGTGGGGCAATCTAAAATATATTTTAAATACTAAATATTCAAATTAAATTATAAGTGAAGTAGTTTACATTAAAAAATTGTGTTTGCAAATAATAATTTATTTTAAATAAAAAAAACTAATGTATTTTACAACTTACTGTATCCACGACTGAATCTAAAATTGTATTTAATACTGGCATCATGTTTATAAATTTTATTTATTATAATGAAGTATTAACAATATAATAGCTTACTTATTATTAATTGATATTTTTACTAAGGAATAGATTGGAGAGTATTGAACTACCATTTAGAAATAGAATAGACTATAAAGATTTCAGATCCAACTCTGTAATCTTATCAATTTGAATACGTTTAGATGATAACATATTTTTGTAAACATTTTGTTGTTTTTAGGTTATATATTTTATATTTACAGTAAGTATTACAGTATATAACACCATAAACTTTAATATTATAATAGATAATATTATAATAGACAATCTTATTTAATGCCGTAAACAATGAACAATATTAAAATTTAAAATCATAATCAATTAAATTGAATTATAATTGAACATAATTTATCTTTTTATTTAATTTAATGTATATTTTCTAGATTTAAAATGCGGTTTTACAAATATTGTGATCTTGTTAATGCTAATACCAACTATGCAAATCGGATGAAGATGCTTAGCAATCGTATTTTTGGTGATGTTGTAAGGCCAACTAGTGAAAAATCGATGAGGGTATCTAACTTATTTCTTTAGCGATTTCTCATTATTTGATTGTATAATTATTTTTATATTTTAAAAATGTTCAGGTAGTGAAGATGTTTAGCGAAGAACCATTATACAAAAAAGAAAATGTTATAAATTACTATCCTCGGCATATAGAGACTGGATTATTAATGAAGAAACTTCGAGAATATGGTTTATATAGAGATGAACATCAAGATTTTATTGAAGAAATGAGAAGACTTAAAGCACTTAGAGGAAAAGTATTTGTAAAAGGAGAGAAAAAGAGGAAAGCTAAGAGTATTATATAATTGTTTAGTCATTCAAAGTTTCATTTTTGTACTAAAAATAACCAATGTGTTTTTAGAATTTTCTATTTGATTGTTTTAAAAAATTTTCTTAGTACATTCTTTGTAGTTACGTGTTAATACATATATGATTAACTAATTATTTTGTTATATCTATTTATTTTTATTTTTTTGATATAAGCTACAAGTAGCATTTAAAAAAATCTATAAAACCTGTGATTTTACTTAACAGCTACACTCCACATTAACTATCAACAATTTTGAAAAAAATATCATATTTTTTATTGTTATTCAGGCCCGGACAGGAAGGATACCGGCCTACTATTCTCAGTTAGCTCATAGGTATGCCCATAGGCTCATGGATACAATGTAAAATAAGACTTTTCTTTTTGCTCATTAATGATTTAAAAAAACTCAAGTAAGTTATTATAAAATTGAGGCTTGCGGCCTACTGTGCTATAGAACAATAGTACAGTGGCCCAGTCCAGGTCAGGCCTATTGTTATTCTTATCATCTTATACGTTTTACTCTTAAACGTCAGCATATATTTTTAATTCCTTTGAACATTTTTTTAAATTTTAATATTTAAAAATTGAATTTATTGATGTTAAATATTTTAAGTTTACACAAATAGAGATACAATATCACTGTGTTCAACTAAACCTTGAATATTTAGATAAGTTAGATTATCTAACTTATTTTAAAATTCATACTTATTAGAAAATATAAATTTGACATAATTTAAACAATTACTATTAAGAAAATTGTTGCTATGTATGTTACATAAGTGTATATGTAGTGTAGATATATATGTATGTTCTGCTTGCGGATAATGAAAATATTTTACTTAAGGCATGATGTTTTCTTAAGCTTATTTATATGTTATGATATATTTTTAAATTGTTAAAAATACAACATTTAAAAAATCTCATTCTAAACTCCAAACTTTTCAAACAAACAAAACATTTTTATCAATATATAAAGGAAAAATATTTGAATTATCTGAATTTCTACAGTTTGTAACAATAATTGTTTAATCATAAATCATAACATCATATAAGTGTTAAGTTCAACATTTAATGAATTTTTAACTACAAAATAATCTACCTTCATGTTTTAGTAATTTTCACAAATTTAATAAAAATTTGAGCTTAAAGTTTAAAAAAAAAAGTGATTATGATATTTTTAATTGGGGTAAGAAAAATTATAACTAAGAAACCACTCCCAAGTATTAAATTTCAGACTTATTTAATTGCAAACATAAGCATTTTATTGAAAAAACACTTGAACCAAAATTGTAAAACTAATAATATATTTGAACAATTATTTAGTAATGTATTCTTATTTTTTTTTAATATTATAATTATTAAAAATCCACTAGTATACAACTATGGTAGCTCAACAGAGTACAGAAAACAGTTACAAAATAAATAATACTAAAATTAACATTATGTTTTCCATGATAAAGATATACTTAAATATATAAGTGATAACAAGTTTATAATATTAGATTATTCAAATTTAGTATGTAAAAATAGGGTAACGATTAGAGGAAATATTAAACGTTTTAAGAGAATTAAATGAAGTAAGTCATTCAGCCTGTAGTGTAGGGGAATCGAATAAGATAGAGAGGTCACTGATGCATTCTTATAAATGAAATGTGCAAAAGGGAGAGTCATTTAAACCAAATTTAAATGAGTAACTAGTAATAAAATATATTCGTCTTATATAATTCATTTCATAAGTGTTAAAAAAAAAGAAATCATAAATATCGACCCAGTCTAAAAAACACGGATATGGTAGGTACTTAAAAAAATAGGAAAATAGGTAACCGATTTTTTCACTCTAGCGTGTTATTAAATTTGAATTCAATTATTAATCATTGGATGTGACAAAATAAATGAAAAGCGATCTGTCGATTGTCGGCTTATATTACTAATTTATTGTATAATAAATTTATTCTAACATTTAATCATTATATTAATTATTAGTATTACTTAATTTAATACAGGTATAGTATATTTACAACACATTCATATTATATTAATATATTATTGTTTTTAACTCTTTAATAAATACTTATCGTAGAATAACGAATTTGTTCGCAGTATAAAAAATCAATAGTATAATATTAAACTTAATCTTTTGAAAATGTCATAATGACATTATTTATATAAAAATTAATAATATACGTGTAAGTTTCAGATCTTGTTTGAATTAACTAAAATAGCTATTTTTTGTTTAAATATTTAGTTTCTTTAAAATTTATATTTAAATACTTTAAATGTCTATAAACATTATGTAAAAACATTTTTTTGATTCTAGCATGAACTAATCTTAAGAAACTTGGTATTAAATTTACATTCTCTAAAAAAATTAAACATTTGACAAATTTCATTAAAACTTTAACTTCAAAAGTTTATCAAAAAAATCCAGTCTACGTATCAATATATTATTTTTAAATAGATATAACTTTAGAAGAATCTTGTATAAAGCTTTTAAATTTTTTTACGGAGTGAAACTTTTTTTATGATATATATATATATATAGAAAAAAAATAATTATGTCTATAAATATCTCAAAGGCTCGAAAAGATGAAAACTTCAACTATTTACAATTATTATTTGAGAAAATGATTTTATCGGAAACTGCTTTTACATACATTCCCGTTTTTCAGTTATAAAGACCTTCCCGCCTCTAAACTACGTACTTACCAACTAAAATCACTTTCCTATCAAGAAAAGTATTCAAGTTGAAAATCGAAGCATTTTTTTATGTAAAAAAAAGCAAAAACCATTAAGTAAAATCAATAGGTACATTCATTGCTTCCCTCAGAATCTAAAATGAATACATACTATTTTATCCACTAACAAGATATAACCATTAATGCTACCTGTAAAAAAATTCTATTTACATGTATTATATACCTAATTGCTTTATAAAAGAAGAAAAAAGAGGGAGTTAATTTAACTTGCACCACGCCAATGTGTAAATAAGCATTTTCATTAGAGCATCGGTCATAGATACATCTTTTTGGTCATTTTTTAAACTGTTTAAAAATGGATTTTGATAAAGTGTTGATAGACTTTGGTGAATATGGCTTATACCAGAAACAACTAATCTGGTTAGTCGTTTTACCATGTGTTTTGCCATGTGGATTTCATGCTTATAATCAACTATTTATGGCTTCAACTCCCGAATATTGGTGTATAGATGAAAAGTAAGTATAAAAATTAATACTTAATACCTTAGTCACTAAGGCTTAGTGATTGATAAATTATTTCATAAAATTGTATGATTTACTTTCAGTCACATTAATTCTACGTCTAAAATTAATCAATGTGTGGATTCGATGAATAACACTTGCAAACTCTGGGATTATGATCACAGTCGATATTTATCTACAATTGTGACTGAAGTAAATTTAAACTAAAATTATTATTAGACGTTAGTTTTCAAAAATATTTAAACTGGACGTCATTAAACAATAAATTTATTATCAATAGGTATAATATATATCCATAATTATGGATTTTGGCTATTGTAATTTTGTTTATTTTCAGATTTATGAAATACTTAATTGTATTTATTAGTACGTAACGTAACAACCTATAAAGACAATAGTACGTTTTAAATGGTTTTTTTTTTTTTAATTTTATTCAAATAATATCTAAGAAATGTGAACTTTAAATTTATGAATTTTATTTTTCCTGATAACAAAATATATTTTACCTTAGTTAAAACATAGGTACATTGACATACATATTTTAAAATTCCACTTTATTAATCATTGATGCGCATTAAATTATTTTTGAATAGTACATCCTAATTAAAAGACCCCTCTGCTTATATATAAACAAAACATTTTCAAACCTTTTGAGATTCGATCATCACTTTTTAAATGCAATAATTGAAAGATAGATATACCACAATACTACAATAGTATTAATCATTATGGTATTTAAAATGTTTACTGACATAAGATTAATTAAAAAGCGAAAAGTTTAAAACGTTGAGGGACAATTTAGGTACTTCCTTCCACGTGCAATATTGCGGTTGTCATTAATTATTAATTAGTTGTTATAATAATACATTTTATATATGCATGTAATAATGTAAAATGTATGTTTGATTCTGATTTATTGCCGTCGCACTGTGTTTTAAATTGAGTCTTTATTAACTCTTATTATTGTTTTTTATTTTAAATCTTTAATTTTTACATAACACCAAAATAATAAATAATATGATTTATCAATAGGGCATATAACATAATTTCATATCTACTTTTATTTTTACGTCTACAAATAACATAACATGGTTGCGCATATTTTACCTTTACGCACTTGAGAAAATTACACTACCTATTATTCAAGTCATTTTTATTCTTGGATATAAATTTAGTAAATTAACAGTTCTGTCCTCGGAATTCAGTATTAAGTTTTGGGCTCACGTACTAAATATTTTTACAGATCCTATACAAAATATCTAGTAATAAAACTTAAATTGGTAAATTATTAAAATTCAAGTATAATAAACATTTTTAGAATAATAATGTCTCTTTTATAACAATATTATTTAAATAATTCAGATCCAGATCACGACGAATTCAATGTATATTAAATAAGTGTTAATCAAATCTAGCTTAGGGATTAGATATTTATGTTTAATTTTTTCAATCGAAAACACAATCTATTTCAAGCAACATAGGTGTTCTACAGTCTACACAATAATGCATTTATACACAATAATTTGTAAGTAGTCAATAGTCAATGATTAAATCACTGATTAAAATATTAAAATAACAATATATATATAAAGTTTTATCATAAAATATTATTTAATATAAAATAAGTACAGTGGAACATAAGTTATCCGCATTAATCGGGACAGTGGTCTTACGAAGAATCAATTAATGATTAAAAATATATAATGATTTGAATGTTTTTTTATATATGTAAAATAAATATACCTATATGATTGATGATTTAACGTATGTACCACTAATCAACGCTCCACTGTATATCAAAATTTCAAAATTTTTTTTTTAACATGCCTATGTAATCCATGCCTAAAAAGGGATATAATATCTTATAAATTATTTAAACTAATATTTAATAGAAAAAAGTACATAAAATATTCATA